ACGTCTGACCCCCTTTTTGCAACGAACTAGACGTCTGACGATTTACATACGTTATCTGTGACCTTCAAACAGATAATGTGCAAAATTTCTATAAATTTTGAGCTTTGAGAAAACAGTTTAGATGCTTCTTAAAATTACAACTTTGCCCGCGTCCCAGAGCCAGCTGTCCCGGAACTGTGAGTGCTGACTGTACACTAGCATTCTAGCACTAAAGTACGACCTATTTTGAAAATATCCGCCTTGCGAAAACTCTTGCATGTTTTTGGCGCCACCTCCTGGACTATTATAATCTACATAATCCCCTTGGTACATAAATAGCAATTTTTTTCAATTTGGGGCCTAAATTTAATAATTATGGCCGTTTTGGGAGAACGTGATATGTTTTATCGAGAGGCGATGAAGCGATGTGTGTTTGGTGATTGTAAAAGTGATAGTCGAACGAGTTCCATTAAATTAACGACCCCATTTGCCTCTACTGGAGTTTTAGGTAACACAGCACCTGTCACATCACTTTCTGTTAATTTTATCAAACGTTTTGCAAGCGTAGATTTGACAAGATGCTGTGTTACCTTAAACTCCAGTGGAGGCAAATGGGGTCGTTAATTATTTTTTGTTTTTTTTTTTTTTTACGGATATGCGCACTCGCAAGGAAATGTCCTATCACGCTCGAGAAGCGGCAAGTGCGCGGAAATGTCGGTGTATGTTGGTCTTGAAACGGTTCAGGTTGTAACCTGCAGGGAAAACCGTCGCAGGGAGTTTATTCCACAGCGATGCTGTTCTCCAGAGATATGAATTCTGATATAATGAGGTTCTTGGTGCCTCTAGTTTGACAGTAAATTCATGGTTACCGTCTGTTTGATGGGTTCGCCTGGTAGGTGCTACTCTCGGTGGAATCATACGTGCCAACTCTTCAGAGCATTTTCCGTGATAGTACCTGTAGAAGAGAGATAAATCGCCCACAGATCTGCGATGTTCGAGACCATCCAAGTTACGAGTAAGTGCGGGGTCATTGATCAGCTTGATAGCTCGTTTTTGCACGGTATTCAAAAGCATTAAGGTATGTTTGGGTGCTGCACTCCATATATGTGAGCAGTACTCCATAGTTGGTCGAATCTGGGCTTTGTAGAGTGTCAGCAATTGGCTTGGTGTGTACAGATGTCTTGTACGAAATAGCACCCCCAGCTTTTGGGAGGCCCTTTTAGCAATATCTGCCACGTGACTGTGCCAAGACATGTTGGTCTCTGCAGTAACCCCCAAGATGTTCAACTGACTCTGTAATGTGACAGCACTTCCAGATAGCATGATGTTTGGCTCACCGGTGCTGGTCTTTTTTGAAAACAGAGCTGCTTGGGTTTTCTGCGCGTTGAACTGTACAAGGTTTTTGTTACCCCAGTCCTCTATTATCTCCAGGTCGTTATTTATCTGCGATATTTGAGTTAGTCTAAGATGATGGAATTCACGTGCGGAAAGACCTGTGGTTGGTGAGTGAGGAGACTACATTGCCATCGCCTGCAAAGCAATAAAGTGGATTTACTGTTTTATCTATGAGGTCATTTATGTAAATCAGAAAAAGAGTTGGCGAAAGGATTGCTCCCTGTGGCACACCAGCATTTATTTGGTAAGAGTTGGAGTTCTGGCCATCCAGTGCAACATAAATGGATCTGTCCTTTAGGTAACTTTCAAACCAAGTGCAAAGTTTCGGCGATAATCCCATTGCTTTGAGCTTGTTGAGCAGATTTTCATGCCAAACTTTGTCGAATGCTTTAGATATATCTAAGGCAATTGTTCTTGTTTCACCCCGCAACTCAATCGCTTTTTGCCAACGGATCTGTCTTTTTTCCTTTCTTTGGAATGGGTTGTACTGCGGCAGACTTCCATGATGATGGATATACTCCTTGCCTGTAAGACAAATTGAATAATTTTGCGAAAGTTGGGGTGAGTTCGTTGGCGCAATTTTTGAGTACTATTGCGGGAATGCCATCCGGACCCATTGCTTTGTTTGTATCCAGCTTTTTTAGGGATTTTCGTATTTCTCTGTGACAAAAGGGTACCTCTGGCATACTATGGGAAACCCTTTCAATGAACGGTGGAGTTTTTCCGTTTGGCACTGTTAGGTTGGAGTTGGAGGAAAACATTTGGGCAAGCATATTGGCTTTTTCCTCTGATGTTGTGGCTAAGTGATTATTTTTATCTGTGTGGTATGGATGACTTGGTGAAGTTAGATCCAACAGCTTTTGCAAGAGACCAAAAAGACCTAGAACTACTTGGACAATTCAGCAACCTGTTTTTTATTCTTTGATTGTATGTTTCTTTAGCGGAGTCAATAGTAATTTTGCAACTATTTCTGGCTTCTATAAATTCTGTGTGGTTTTGAGCGGTTTGTTGTCGTTTCCAAAGGTTATAGGCTCTGTGTTTTTTCTGTACAGCCGTTTGACACTGGCTGTTGAACCAAGGTTTTGCATTAGCTCTACGTTTAGTTGTATGTGGGATATATGCGTCCATTCCAGATAAGATTACTTGTGTTATTTCATTACAGCAAATAGTGGGATCAGCTGTTTTAAAGCAAACCTCTTGCCATGGAAAATGCAGGTAATACTGTTTTAGGTCATTCCATTTTGCCGATTTATAGTGCCACATTTTACGAGGAAGTGGTTGTAGGCTTGGTGGGATGAGCATTTCGCACTTTGTTATTATAAGTTTATGATCGGACGAACCAAGTGGAGCATCTACTTGAATTGTGTACGAGTCAGGATTGGTGGTTAGGAACAAGTCTAAAAGCGCTGCAAATTCGCCCCTTTCTGAGATACGGGTTTTAATGGAACTCGTTCGACTATCACTTTTACAATCACCAAACACACATCGCAGTCTGGCAACCCTAGTAATGGACGATGTGTGCTCTGTATAGTATACTGCAGTTTGAATTGGTTGTTAGTTGTTGTTAGTCATGTCGTTTATTACTATCCCTTATCTGAAGGAGAGGAGGATGGACCTGCAATAGGATTTCTAAAATTATAAGTTTTCTTCCTGGGTCTTTTTTATATTTGAGATGTGATTTTTTTTCGGCGATGTTTAGTTTTTAATGTTGCAGTTTTCAGCTCGCATTTTATGGTGAACCTTCTTTTTTTCATTACGTATAGTAGGTAATTGAAAGTCGATCCTACATAGTATAGAATCGACTGTGACCATCCACTAAAAGAAAACAACTTTAATAATTTTTGATACTTTATTCATAAGGAAAAGTTAATTGTTTAACAAATACATAATTTTCATCAATTTTTGATATGTGTTGACAAAATATAGGTTATCAATCGATACTACCCAAAAAAATAATTTTGCATATTTACATTCAGTTAGTAAAAACATTACAATGCTACGCAATAACAATGTCGGACATTTTTTACGACGCAGCACTACCACTGGACTAAGGTAATTATGTTTAAGAAAATTACTTGCTTTTTGAAAATAAGTTTTATTTGTAAATCATTTTAATAAATGCTGCATCGTATAAGAATGTTTTGATCTAACACACAGTCTACTGAATCTTATTTATTTTTGTTATTTTTGCCTATCCTAATTATTAAGGGTACACTTATCTATAATAATGTTTTGGTTAGTAATATAAAAGTTATTATTTTTCGATGGAACCCTCAAACATTTTTGTTTGTTTCAGTGTCCCTTCGCAAATCTAAAACTGTCACACAAGATTAGATAGAGTTAATCCAAAAAAAAATTCAGAAACTTATTTTGGATGGTGAATGCGCTCTGGAACAGAAATCAGGTTTGCACAAATTCCTGCCCAATGATCGTAACCACACAATATGCTTCTAAAAATTTAAGTTAGTAAACACAAGTCAATAATTAATAAAATATAAAAGTATAAAAATTATATAAATACCGAAATCAGTCAAATAATAAGTGATAAAATTAGGTATATTGGGCACTAGAATCGGAAGAAATTTTTAAAAAATTGTGCTCTTACACCCTATTTATACCTCGCCTGTTCATTCAATATCGAAAAATAAATTCGTTGCTGGGCACCATAGAAGTTTTCTAATTGGCTATATCCAGCTTGAAAATCTGACTAATCACTAGTTAGAAGTCTTCTACGCAGTCTAGCATTAAATGTTTGTTTCAATATTAAATGTGTAAATATCTAGATACCTATATATTTTTTCAAATTTTGTGGTCGATTTATTAAAATGGGAGAAAATTCAAGAACAGAGGCTTAATGGAAAGCACTTAAAAAGCACTTCCTATCAAAACTTATAGCATTTTTTACATAAGATGTGTCGCAATAATTAAATTAACGTCAAGTATGCCTGAATAGCTTGATGAAAGCAAAAAAAATTTAAATACTCCCAAGCTCTGGCTCTATGTGCAAAATATTAAAAAAAAACGAGTTGTTCCACGGACTTTATTAGAAATAATTTTACTAATTAAAGCGGACCAATTTTAATATTATTGGATTGGCAAATTACTTTATAGGATCAACAAATTCCAACAACATGGATTTGATAAGGGGGTGGGACATCTCACCCTACACCTATTTGCAAAACGAAAATAATAGGAATTGTACACAATCGAGCGCTGTAGTTTGATTAATTATCTTTCCGGGCGTAAAATGCAATTTAAACGCCCGATTGTATAAAAACAAACATACATTTTTGTAGCTAACTTTTTCTTCTTGAACCTATATTATTTTTCATAATAGGATTATTCCTGGTTACTAATACAGCAAACATAGGTACCTAGCACGCAAATACGTCTTGTTAAAAAAAAAACTAGCATCCAGGAGGTGTAAGAGTTCTGGGTTATAGCATTAGGCTCTAGTTCCCACGCCCCCGGCTTTTTAACGCTCACTTTACGACCTGATTATTATATTGTTGGAATCTGTTGATTACATGGAGGAAACGCATAAAAGAATATTATTTGATATCTTGAAAAATGTATGCAGCTAACATTCAGGCATATTAAACAGATGTTACTTTTAATTTCTCTTCTTAAACAAAAATGAACGAAACGTTGTTGTCTTTGCATGTTCTGTCGGCGCATGTTCTATCAGGCTCCGCTTGGGCTCTCAACCACTTCCCGTGGCAATGGGGTGCAGATAATGCCGACCATCTGGTGATTCTACCCTCGACTCCGTGTCCTTGACATCTCCAGCCCAGGTCTTCGTGGAGGGCTTCGGATTCGCAACGGACGCATACTTTTTCGCCTGAAATAAATAAATAAATAATTAGGAACATGTTTTTTTGTGTATTCTCAAAACATAATTTCATGTAAAGGATCAAATTTATATACTAGTAAAATTATTTATCGACGGTGGAAATACCCATTCTAGACATTCAAATCATAATTTTTATTGTTTATATTTAAATCGGAAACATTGACGATGAGTTTACTGGTAATAATATAAGTTCAACAGACGACGTAACCACTGCATTACCATCTATTAAGTTCAGTTATCTATTCCCCAGGGCCACCTTATCAGAAGGAGTGATCCGCAGTAAAGTAAGATTGCAGTGCAGCTCTTCAGTGTGATTATATTAATAGCTCTTAGCACTGCGCTCGACGCAACTTGATCTATTGAGCTTTTCCCTAATTAGTGCAGGATAATTATTAGACATTGACCCGGACATTTGAAATAACAATAATAAATATTGGTGGGAATGTTGAGTCAAATATTGTTCTGATTGATATCTCAAAATTCTTGAAAAATCCATTTTGGAGAAAATCGGCCATTTTGAAAAAACACCGCAATCTTGGATTTGTCGAGTTTTAAGCATAGCGATCATCAGATTATATTCGTTTTTGCACCAAATCACTTTGTAGCAATTGTTTTTAATTGTAATCACCGGTTCAGTAGCGACGCCAGGGTTTTACGTTAGGGGGGGCCAGGCTGGACCAGAAAAAATTAGGGGGGGCACTTGTTCTTACTTTATTGTTTTTCTTGTTTGAAATAAAAAATGGGAATTGCAAAGTTTACCCGTATATTTTTGCACTCCACCTGAACAGCTTAATTGAATGTATCAAAAAGGTTTTTATTTGGATTTTCTATACAGGGTGTCCGTTTTTCGAGGACAACCATTGGAATATAGGAAACGGTAAGAGATACAAAATCGGAATCAATGGCCAAATGTGTTACTGCTTATGGGAGATCAAGAAACTCCGAATACAATTCATAAAAATGCAAACCTCTATTTAAAAAAATAAAGTTGATGATGATCGGCAAAAGACGAAACGTCGGATTTCAAATTTGGTTACACCATTATGTAGAGGGGAGAAAGTTGCCCCAATAAAGTGAAGTTTATTTGAAATACCTTCACAAATGAGTCCAGGAAAATATAGAAATGATTTTACAAAATTTTGATTTCCATGTATCTCCGGAAGTATTCGGAATTTTCCAAATTTCGAACTAGCGTTTTGTTAAGCAAGAAATTGCGCAACTTTGTCCCAATTTAACCGAACCTGTATCTCTTACCGTTTCCTATATTCCAATGATTGCTCTCGAAAAACGGACACCCTGTATAGGTAAATCTTCTTGATACCTATTCAATTAACCGTTCAGGGTCGGTTTCTCGATAGCTAGTCCAGGGTAAACGTGTCCAATTGCAATGTTTACCCTGGAGTTATGGTTAACTGCTCTGACCCGGGGGTGACTTGCTTGCTATTGAGAAACCGGCCTTCAGGTGAGGTGCCAAAAATACACTGGAAAACCCTGTATAGTCGTATTCACGATAGAGTTTGAATTTTGACCGTTATTTTCACCAGTTGAAAATAAATAAAATCCCCAAATCTGTCCCTTTTTCTGACAACTATCAAATAATGATACATGACATTTTGATTTGACAAATAAAAATATCAGATTCGGGCTTGATTCGGGTCTTTGAATTTTGAATTTCGAATTTTTGTGTGAAATCGTTAAGTTTTTTGCTGTTTTCTGTATTATTTTTTTATTTGTTCTAATCGCAATCAGTTTTTTGGTTTTTTATGTAGTGTTCTGTGCCTTTGTGTTTCGGTGTTGCGTTTCAAACCTGGTTTTAGTTTGGATTTAAGTGTTTACTCTTTTTATAAGTGTTTACTTTGGACTCTAATTTTAGGATTTTTGGATTTTAATAACTTAACTTCCTTTAAAGAAATTGAAAATAAATTTTTATTCTGAAATGTATATCACTTTTCTAAATACGACCCTGTCGTTTATCCCAGCTGACGGAATCGAAGCGCTAACGCATGCTGACAACCTAAAAAAAAGTTTACTAAAAATGTCAAAGCAAACTGTCAACTTCACTTTCTATCGTGATTTAGTCTATACCTGCCGACACACGTGATTTAGTCTATACCTGCAGCCCCGGCCCCCCTGGCCCCCCCCTGGCGTCGCCACTGGTCCGAACAGACCTATTGTCACACGACGGTTTTAATAGTTTTATAATTTTCAATTTTTGGTCTTAATTAAATAAATTACCTTATATCAACCAAACATGATAATAGTTATTCTGGACGTTTTGCCTTTTTTTTTTGTTCGTCTATAATGTAGGTACTACATCGAGTTTAAATCGGCTAAGTTCCACTCTTATGTCGAATTTTCAAGTGAAAGAATAATGAACTATAAGAAAATAGCTCTACAAAATTTATGTCGAATTTTTAAGTGAAACACTTATGAACTATAAAAAAATAGCTCTACAAAATAAAATCAATTATCTTGAAAATTAGGAATATTTAGCAAAGTCTACAAAACTTTTCGAAACAATAAATCATGAGCAGTCTGGCTGTTCACTCTCGTTCGAATTTCAAGAAAGTTTTTAGCCATTGAAAAGGAAGTAAAAGCAATATATCTCAAGATTTTACTTCCATATGCTGTCCGAGAGGCGGTTTTTGATTTTTAATATACCACGCCTGACAGAAGGTACCCACATAAATAATATTTCTATCAATAAATTATTCACGTTCGTGGTTTAAACTGGTGTTCAACTTTTTTTTGTTGTTCTCTGCAACATTCAAGTGTCTCTACAAAGAATCTCTCCAATCTAAGTGTATTTAAATTTCAAATTGCGAAAACTTTGTTTCGAGTATTGATCATAAAAAGATAAATGACAATTCCTTTTCCCGCATTACGGTTATGCGTTTTGCCATTCAGTTCCTCTTAAATGTACTAAAATTACCTTTCCAAGACAGACCAGGGCGAGTTGAATTTTAATGACAAAAGTTGCAATGCAGGCACTTTTATTGAGGAATTTTATATCCAAGTGGCCTTTTTGAACCGCTTTCTCAAGAGAACTTTAACGTTTTATCCACTTTCGCACGATTTTCATTGGAAACTGCAGCAAAGAAAATTGGATCAGCTGCTAAGGAAACATTGATCTCTGGCCTTGTTTCGTCTTAGTGTCATCGGTTTTGGAATTTCCATTTAAAACTTAAGACTATTTAAGTCTTTCAAAATTAAACTTATTATTCTCCTATTAATTTCAAGCTGTTGATTGACTTTGCCAAGTGTTATTTCCTATCCTAGATTTTAGATACTTGTGCGAGTTTACTTTTTTCACTTGTTGGTTTTCTGTGGATATTGTGCCCCTATTTGTTTGCTTATTTGTGATAAACTCTGTTTTTGTTACTTTCATTTCCAATCCGATCTTCTTGGTTTCTTGAAGTAATTCTTCAGCATGTCTAAGTCTGTTTCGTTCGGGGCGAATATTATGATGTCATCAGCAAATCTTAAATTATTGAGGTTTTCTCCAGACAAACCCAAATACCATTTGAGGCCAAAGAATGCAGCAGCAACGACAACAGTAGAATTATTTAGACCACCCCATAGGAGCACAAAATCAGAAAACGCGCTCTTTCTGCCGAGAAGATCACTGCAAAGATCACCACCAGAGTCGCCCAGTATGAGTTTAGAGCAGATTAACAGTGAGATAGAAAATCAAACAGGCTACGAAGAAGATAGTGTTTTTCGTAGCCCACCAGACCTTACCCTTCACGAAGCATCAAAACCCAGGCAACCATCAAAAGAGAAAGTAGAACAACCGGATATAATGGCGAACACCACAATAACTGACGCTATGACAGCGGAGAAACAGGCAAAGTTGCCTCAGTTTATCAGCTTTCAAACCTTCTAGCTGTGTAAAACCAGCGCGATCGAGTTCCTAAGAACATATGACAGATCAGCGATAGCAAATGGATGGGACGAAAAGCTGAAAATTGTTTATTTTGAAAGATATTTAGACGGAGCCGCAAACTGACGCAAACCTGTGGTACGCAAACCTGTGGTTTCAAGAATATAAGCGCGACCACCAAAACAACAGCTGGAAAGACATTATCAAAGATTTTTCAGAGGAATTTGAGGACACAGATTACCAAAGGGCACTCAAGACAAAAGTCGAAAACAGAAAACAAGATCAAGATGAGTTAGTCAAGGAATACTTGTACGATTTACAAGTATTATACCACAATTACACACATACATTTGATATACAAAAATTTGTAAGGATTTTTAGCGAAGGGTTGACGGAGGCAAATAATTACAATTACTGCTGGTTAACAAACCCGCCGAACAAGCCACCAACATCACTTATACAATTAAAAGAAATAGCAGACACCATAGACAAAGCTCCGAAGAAAGGTGCAACGCAAGATACCCAAATTACCAGCTGTACGGAAAGAAATACAATCACAGACACAGAACTAAAGATATGTCATTATTGTGGAAAAAGAGGACATGTAATGGCAGTGGTGCCTGGTGCCAGATTGTTTTAGTAGGAATTCGTGAGATTGGTCGCCAAAAATCGTGAGACAACTGAAAAGCGTCAATTTGAAAAGAATTCACCTTGTAAAACGTTTGTGGCGACATCTAGTGGTACCTATTATATTTTCACTTCTGACGCGCAATTTGTTTATAAAAAAAATTATGTTTTAGTATGGTTTTAGTTATTCACCTAACAAGTGCGGAAAGTGTTACTTTTTCGCACGAGACGGTAGTTGCACGAACGACGGTGCAGAAAAGTACAACTTTCTAGCAACTTTTAAAACGAAAAATCGTGCGGAAAAGTAACGTTTCCGCCAGTGGCGACGCCAGGGGGGGGCCAGGGGGAAATTTAGCCGGCCCCCCCTGAAAACTTGCGCTTCTGCCAAAAGTCGCATGAAAAAAGTCTACATCGAAAATATGACAAAATGTTATATATGATATTATATACTATATTTATCTATATATATAAAAATGAA